CGAGGCGTTGGACGGGCGCGCCCCGGCCTGGCCAGTGGCCGAGGCCAGCAGCACCACGGTCCCGAGGAGCAGCAGAGCCGACATGGCTCAGGTAGGGACGCCAGGCTGCGCCGGTCCGAGGACGGAGGCTGGAGAGGGGCGGAGGAGGGGGGGAGAGATGAGGGAGGGGAGAGGTGGGAAGGGAGAGCCAGGGTGGGATGCAAGCCGGAGGGACACGAGGAGGCGGGGGGAGGGGGACCGGAGGAAGAGAGAAGAGAGAAGCTGTCAGGTGGAGGAGGTAGCTCCAGACGGGCGCCCCTCCTGCGCTTAGTAGGGTGTTTAGCATCCCCATCCCTAGGCCCAAGATATCCCCCCTCTGCCCAGGGAGTGGGCACAGGCGTCTCTGGCTGGGAACCCACCCATATGGCCTTCAGCCCCCCAAATGCCTGTCCAGCCCGTCTCCTGTATTCAGTTATGTCTCTGCCTGTCTGTCCATCTCCCAGTGTCAGTAGAGTGGTAGTGTGGTTCATCTTGCTGCACCCCCACATCCCAGCTGCCCTATTGGGGAAGCCCAGCCCCGGGCTGGCCGCCCCATCTGTAAAGTGGGGTGAGGGTGCTGGGCATTAGGTGTTTGGGTGCTGACCCCGGCTCCCACACACAGGGGCTTGGAGCCTGGCCCAGCCAAGTGTTTCCCCCAAGAGTGTTTATTGCTGTCTTGAGCTGCAGAGGAGACACAGCCGGTAAGGGGCGAGGGGCAGAGGGAAGTGGGAGTCCGGAGGTGGAGGGGTGGGTCTTTCTACCATCTCTATGGCAACCGCTCAGGCAGGCCCAAGCCTTGCCTGTCCAAGTGGGCAGGAGTGGTTGGGGGAGGGTGGAGAGGAGGCCTGTCCTCCCTCCTTCAGGGAGGGTGGGCAGGCGGGACAGGTGGGTGCTTCAGAGCTGGGACTACAGGCAGAGCTGGGCTGGGCGCTGGGTATCTTTTCTCTGTGCTGCCTCCAATTCAGGAAGATCTTGACAGCTGTCACTTCAGGACAGCTGCTCAGAGGCTTGCTCCTCAGGGATCAGGGCCTGTACTCATCCCACACAGTGAGAGGGACACAGAACTGTTTTGCAGGTGCCCAGCTGACCCATGCCCACTAGGCATCCTTCTTATAATGAGGGTGATGCATGTAATACCGACTTATTGATGAAACATGTGAACTCATGAAGGGGCTGGGCCTGGTGGTGCACACCTGTATTCCTGGCACTCAGAAAATAAGGCAAGAGGATGTTGAGTTTGAGGCTAGCCTAGGTTACATAGTGAGTAAGAGGTGAGTGTGGCCTATGTATGGGATTATAAAGGAAGCCTGGACAAAGCAAATGCAGTGCACTCAAAGGACGGGTGGGTGAGATTCATTCAGTAAACATCTTTCAAGTGTTTTTATTTGTCCCTTTCCCTCAGGGGTGTGCACTGCCAGGGACACACTGTCAATCCAGCGGCTGGCAGTGGGGGCGAGGGGAGTTATGTGGCTCAGCTAGCTCCACCCTCTTCCACCTGGGATCCACCTCGCCTTTTGAGCTCCAGTCTGTTCCTATCCATGAACTCCAGCTGACAGCACTCAAACTCAGCTATGGGGCTGGGCTTGGAACCTGCGTCTCCAGACACTGAGGCCTATAAAATATGGATGGCTTAATCTTCACACAGAGAAGTGAGTTCTCTCTCTCTCTTCCTCTCCCTCCCCTCTGTCCCTTCCTCTTCCTTCCTCTCTCTGCCTCTCTCCTCTTCATCCCTCCCACCTTCCAGGAGTTGCTCTTGCACACAGCCTGTGAATTCCTTCATTCACTGGAGGCTGCCAAGGATAATTGGGCAAGTTGCACACTGCACAAGGGGGTCCAGCTGAGAGGCTCCAGTCCAGCTGGGTTCTCCTTTCCAAGGTGTCTGTGGCCGGCCAGCTGGGCACAGTGCCCTTTCAGCCTCTCACCACACATCAGCTGCCTGTCAAGCCATAGACTCACAAACCATAGACTCACATGCTTCCGGGACGGCAGCCTTCACCTCAACTGCTCAAAGGCTGCCTTTGGACTACCAGCACTTCTTCTCACTTTCCACTGGGTACTGGCCCCTGGCTGGGCTCTGTGACCCCACCATCCCCCTCTGCTAACAGAATCTTACTGTCCCCTGAAACTGTACCCCTGGGACAGGCACAGCTCCAGTGATTGCAGGGGTGGCACCCAGCTACACTTACACATGCCCAATCTTTGTACATCCCCTGAGTGCCAGGCTGTACCTCCAGTGTGGACAGAGGACACTAGTTAGATTCAAGGCTTCCCTGGCCTGGAACTTCCCCAGGCTGACAGTCCTGAGACAACGCACAGCAGCACAGCACAGGGCACCCAGAGAGGACACCAAACACAGCACCAAGACACCCCACAGCTGCTGAGCCTGGTGGCACACCTGTAGCACCCTCTTGACACACATGTATTCATGCACACAGCGCCATGTATTTCCACACATCTCCACCTACAGCACACAAGATAGAACCTGATGCTCAGCAGCCACACACAGCTCAAGAGCTGACCCTAGGACTGGAGATGGCCTTCAGTGCACAGAACATGCTTGCTGTGCCCCACGCCCTGGGTTCTCCCCCCCCCCCGCGCAATAAACAGTATAAAAGCAAACAGTAAACAAAAACAACAAACGCCACCAGAAAAATGGGCCCACACCCATGACCAGGTAAGTCAGAAGCTGGCAGGTGACACCCCACCAGGCCCCAGCTGTGCCCAGACTCCACAGTCTGCTGCTGCCCTCCCAACCTTGCTAGCTAGGGCAGCAGGAGAGCAGCGGACTAGGTATGCCGGGCCGCACGGCCACCCGAGGGTCCTGCAGCTGCAGCAGGAAGAAGGGTGCAAGAGAGCCAGAGCCCCAGGGGAGGGACGGATCCTGAACAGTCCAGAGAGAGGGGACACAGGGCTTGAGGTGGAAGAGAGAATGCGATGGAGGGGGAAACTAAGAACCTGGGGGAATCAAGGTACCAGTGTGGGACAGAGAGAGATGAATGCCCAGCAAGGAGTTAGAAACCCACAGAAGGTGACACAGGGTAGGAGGAGCAAGGGAAGAAACAGAGGGTGCCCGGGGGACAGCGGAGCAGAGACAGAGAAGGGGTAGAGACCTACAGAATCGGGGCTCAGAAACTAGGGAGGGCTGGTGAGAGGGGACACAGAGACCACCAGAAAGGATCAGAGACTCCGACATGGGCGGAGTGGGGTCCACAGGTGGAGACGGGGTTGAGGGTACAATGGGGGCAGGGCAGAGGATGAGGGGCGTCCAGGATCCTCCAGAGGGTTGAGGGTCGGGGGGGCCTTTGGGGTGCATCCCAGAGCAGGAGATGAGGTGAGAAGAGGGACGGGGGAGGGAGGGACACAGGGTCCGGCCCGCACCTCGACGCACAGTCCCGGTCCTCGGGGGTCTGATTGCAGCCCCAGCCAGGCCCCTGGCCTCCAGGTCCGTGGCTGATGGGGCCCAAGGGCCTCGGTCTCCCGGGGTTCCCCCCCCCCCGCACCTCCCGGGTCCCTGTCACGGGCCTTTGCGGCCCCCGCCCGGCTCGGCCGCCGGCCGGTCGCCCCATCCACCCCCCTCCCCCTTCGAGGGCCCGTCCCAGGGCTTCGACCCTCGCGAGGGTCTCTGTCCCGTTCGCGAGCGCGGCCGCCCCCCACCCCTGCTTGCTGCCCCCCGCTTTTGGAAGGGGTGGGCGGGGGGCGCTGCAGCCGGAGCTGTGTTCCCAGCGCAAAATAGACTCGGGTTGCCATGGTGACGCGAGCGCGGGCCCCAAGACGCAGCTCCGGGCTGAGGTGCGGAGGGGACACCTGGATCCGGAAGGCGGGGGCTGGGGTGCCGACACCTCGCGCCGGGACTCCCAGGATGGGCTCCGGGATCGGTGACACCGGCTTGGCTCCTTCAGCTGGGGGATCTCAGGGGTGGGGGACGCCTCGGGGGGCCCCCGGATCTCAAGAAGGGGCTCCGTGGGGTTTCGACTCTCCGATCCCCAAGGGCTGCAGACCGCTGGGACCTCCCGTGTCGGTGCCCGGCTCCTACGTCCCGGGAACCGGGGCCTTACGAGCTGCCGCAGCCCACCCTCCCCCCGCCCACTCTTCCGTGGGTCCACTCACCTGCCTGTCTCTTTCTCCTCGTCCCCGTGCCTCGGTTTCCCCTCTGTACCGGGTGTGGTCGCGCCCGCCTTCCGGATGCAGGATCCTGGGGGAGTCGGGGGTGTATAGCGTGGGGGCCGAGCACCGGAGGCAGCGCGCGTGTCTGCGAGCAGCGGGCTGGCTGCGCGCGCCGGTGCAGCGGGGAGGGGGGAGAGGCGGCGATGCGGGCTGCGACCCCGCCTTCCGCACAGATGTGGCCTGTGCCTCCAGCTGGCTGGAGCCGGGAAGAGGCGCCTCCCCCTCCCCACCTGCTGGAGACCCCTCTCTCCCGCCCACAGCCCCCGTGGCTTCCGGAACGCCCGCCCCCCCCCCCGGCCCAATAATGGTTCGGTCCACAGTCACAGCAATGTTTATTCTGCAAGTCCGG